GAAGATAGCGCAGCGTGACAGACAAAGAAGTGTTAGTATTCTATAGAATCTTCTTCTATGGCAACCATCATTATAGTGAAAGCTTATGTTTCCATGAAGCCATAGCTGTCTGGTCACGTTTTACGAGATCTCATTCTGTCATCTAGTGTTTGCATTTTTGACAGAAGCAAGCCTTAGCATATTCATTGTCATCCAAAGGTAAACCTGCATCTATAGTAACTGATATTCCTGTTACCTCATTATTGAGAGCCCGCTTTTTCATCGAGCCTTGAGCCGACCGTAAACATGAGAATGGCTTCTTGATCGAGGGCGTTTGTTTTCACCAATTCACTCCTGTTTGGTATTCTTGTCGAAGTAACTCGTTGGGTTTTGTATGCATATAGAAAGGGGAGGTCGATTCCAAGTTCCACAAAATATTTAGAAAAGGGGTTTAGTATGCATATACGTTTGTACTGTGGTTAAATTAACAAATCCTTCCAATGTTAACATCGAATAAATAATATTTATAATGAATTATATAATGTACAACTGTCTGCACAGCGTTACAAGAACTTAAAGATGTGGTGTAGTTCTAGTCATCTCTTATGACTATAGCAATTATAGAACTTTCTTCTATTTATTTTTCTTGTCTTACAGCTATTGCCAAAAAAGTATATTAATATACGTTATTTGCCATTGCTTACTGTTAATGTCATTTGAATAAGCAAACTTTGATTTTTAAGCTAATCTTTTCTGACTTTTGTTGAATTATTAATTTAATTCGACGAAAGCGAATTTTACGAATTTGTTATGAAATTCACAATTGTCACACTGAAAACAAAAACAAAATACGCGGTAATTGTTGTTTTTGTTCTCCTGCTCTCATCTTTATGAATTCTCCTTGCTTGAATGTTTATATTTTGTTTTTCTCATTCTCATACGTGGAAAGGAGAGAAGCAAGAAAATCAACATGTTTGGGTACTTTACGTTTATATGTTTGTTTTATGTGTATATTTATATGCTTCACCGCAGCTCAAAAACAAAAAAAATTACAAAAGTTAGAATGGTCTCAATTTAGAAATCTATATTTTTGTGATGCTTCTGCTTTAGGTTAGTTTTCTAAAAACAGTGGCTTAGCGGATGGAGAAGAATGAATAAATGTATTCACGTTGGGCAATAGGCTTGTTGAAAAATTTGTCTTTGACCAATGCTATAGAAGGCATCTGACGCTCCGCAGACGCCAATCGCACTTTGGCCGTATGACTTCGCTGACCATTTGAGAATTGCATACATATTTGGCAGAATGCAAAAACTCGAATAGCAGCAATCCATTAGCCAGAGCCCAAAGTTACTCAAGGACTTACGTCCCTCGCGTAACAAATATGCCAAAAATCATAACATTGGTACCAGAGGCAAACTTTCCACTTCAAAAGGTTAATGTGTGATTACTGCTCGCTGTCAGGCTTTGTAAGGATTTTGTAAATTCATTTCATTTGGACACGAAGATCCAACTTGTTGTAAGGATTCGCTGATGAAGTGGGTATGACGTCTCGGGAACATTGCACGCAAACGAAATAAGAAAAAAATACTGTCTTTCAAAAGAACAAATTTGACTTGCTTGCTGCAAAATTTTTTTCCGGTCTTCTCAGTTATAGAAGTGTTGAAAATTGCAAGTTCTCATATATGTAACCTACAGTGAAAAACAAATTGAAATTTTTTCTTCAAAAATTACCTTTTTGTATTGGTTTTAACATAAATTCATATATTAAGTAATTAGCGAAGAGAATGCTTCTCCTCTTTCAAATTAAAACAGTAGAAACGGCCTAGTTGAGTTCATGATTTCAATATTAGTGACAAATTTTGAAAACTACAAATATAAACAAAAATCAGCTGTTGTGAGTTAACTCTTCATGCATTTAATGTAAGGTGAAAATAATATAATAATCATCTATGAATGAGCAAAAGCAAAATGTTTTAAAGTTTTTCAAACATGAATGAGTAACAGGTTTTAAAAACTAAACCGTTCTCAAACACAAATGAATAAGCAGTGAGTAAGAATTTATGTACCCTGTTTTTTACCATAACTTCATTTACTCAATACTTGTGGGTTTTACCATTGACATTGGCCTACTTTTCGGAGAGGGGAATAGTTTTCCCACATATCTAAGCAAAAAGCCACATTCAAAGATTTACAAGGAAATATAACCATAAATTAGGTTTTTTGTATGGGTTAGTCCATGGTCCATATCCCGGGAAGAAGTGTAGTCTTCCTGTTAATTTAAGCAAAAAGCCACTGAAACTTTTTCCAATGTTGGCAGAACAATCTCCATTTTAAAAAAGCTTCAATTTGTCAACATTGAACATTTATTGAATTTATTTGTTAAAAAAATGTGATAAATAAAGAACCACTGCACCGATTTTGTGCAAACTTTACATAAACCATCTACTAAAAAGTCCAAGCAAAGCCTTAAAATGGTTTGGATAGGTGAGCCCGTTCTTGAGTTATAAAACCAAAACGAAAAGTCGCATTCATTTTTATATATTTAGTATGCAAAACATCAACTTTCGTACTTCAGACAGCCATATTATTATGTGATGTTCTAGGAAAGCATCGGAAACGATTGTAGACTATTTACTTCTCTTCGATGAAAAATAGCCGGCATACCCTAGAATTAAAGTTAGTGAGCAAATACGTTAATAATCACATTCATATAACGATCATAAGTATATCTTGTACTTAGATTAAAGAATCTAATATTCGCTTTTACCCAGCTAAAAGCTCTGGACTTAAACTTGAATACAAAGAACTCATTTACATGCAATTCTAAGGCCAATTTGAATGTATGGTACTCAATTATGGGGTATGGCCTGTGCAACTACAACAACAGAGCAATAATACTGACGTTCCAACCTAAAACTCTAAGGGTAATAACAGGCATAGTACATTCGTGACGTAAACATACAAAATCAACTGGGAATCCAACTAAATCTGGAGTTAAATGAAAAATCTTTTGAAAGTGAGGAGTCATCAGAAACCTTTAGCTAACGCTTTGGGCAACTCACCTAGAAATTCGACGTTTGAATAGAGAACTGAGTTAACCTGAGCTAAAATGTTGTTAAATTAATAGTCAAATTTGTATACTTACTGTTGATTAAACTAAATTTAAGAAAGTTCAGTAATAAAAGAATTACGTTTAGATAAAAGATCGTTAGAGTGATAAGTTAATAATGCAATAGCTTTCGCTCATCTGTTCTTAACATAAGATTGGAAAGGTAATGAATAATGTTATATAATTTTAGTTTAAATTTAATTTAATTGAAAAATATAAGCTTATTATAACATGTTAAACTTTGTACTGCTTCACAAATTCATCACGGCTGAGAGAACAACAAAAAACGCGTCCATCCAAATACGAAATTAGAATGTAAGCGATTTTTCCCACAAGATGTCAAGCGTACATTGGTACAATGGTACAACAAATGCTATATGCAAAGAAATGAATGTCGGTTTAAAGATAAGACATACATACATATGCATGTATGTAAAAATATACAAAAATTAGAAAGAATAGCCAAAGCCTATTTACCTGTCACAACCATATCAGATTTATGATATTTGATTTTTCAATTAAGCATTTATTCTCATATCCGAAAAATTGGTTGTTTGTGTATAAACCAAATTTGACATTTGTAGAACTTTTTCGAAAGATTTTCCGACCAAAAAACCTTAAATCTGAACGAATCGGAAGTACGGGGCAATTTGTTTATTTATTTGCTCAAACACGCAACCATAAGTTATTTTACAATGCTTGAACTTAATTCTAATTGCTTAAAATAAAACATATTAATAATAAAAAGTAGTATTTTCAATATTTGAAATATAAGTGATGTAAGAGTTCGTTTCGAAAGCTCAACGTACTTCAAATGTTTTTGACCCTTTGTGGCAGAGCGTACCAAAGACGAACAGCAAAAACAAAGAACTGATGTTTAGATACCAGGCAACTGTATTTTATGCTAATGGCTTTGTGTAATAACATTGGGCACTTTTAACTTCAGTAAATCGTCGAATTTTATGGAAAATAATTTTAATGGAAAGGTACTAATGCATGAAGTATGTCCGTAACCTTGCCTATTGCACTAAAAATGAAGTTATTCCAAAACAAAGTTCTATTGAAGATTATTCCTAGATTTCTGGCAATATCCACAAACCTAATAATAAAGTTATTTAGTTTCACTTCACTGTAGCATTCAAGTTTGAAAGGCTTTTTGTAAATGACAATGCACTTGCTGACGTGTTCTAAATCGGTATTGAGAGCAGTAATGCAATCACTGACGGCGTCAAAAGAGACACTGGCATATCATCTGCGTATAAATGAATGTCACAGTATTTTACTACACATAAAACAAACAACAGATAGATCCTTCTGGAACACCTTTAGTTACGTGTAAATGGCTTATAACGTTACCTGGACATACACCTTGCGAACGATGACTTACATATGATATTATTAAATATGTTACTGTCAATGAGAACTGAAACGAATTGCTAAGTTTCAAAGCTAGTATTTCATGGTTCACAGTGTCAAAAGCTTTGAAATGATACAAATGTGTATATAACATTACTCGATTTTTGTCTATCACCAACAGGTTTCGACTTACGAGTAAAAAATAATTTATTTGAGCACGCATAATGTCTTCAAGTACTTTAGATAGGAAGGTAGTATTGTGATAGGTCTAAAGTCTCCGTTAGACTTCTTAATTGTTATGGTTTTTGCCGACTTCCCAAATTGAGGATGAACAGACGTGATAAAATGGTATTTAAGCTTATATTACATAAGGTAAAATTTTAGGCAGTATACATTTCAGAAATTTATTTTATATAGTTCTCCGATTTCCGTAATTTTCGGTGTCAATGTTTATTTGTAAGTACGAATGTATAATACCAAAATTCATGACCTTATATTGAAAGAATTAATGTAATTGTACAAATTGTAATCATTTTTTATATTATATTATCTTAGCTAAGGAATGCATAGAGAAGCGAGCTGGACGTCCCGATACGGAATTAGTTAGAGATACACCTGAGGAAGAACTCATCAATGAACTAGCTCTCATAGCAGAGATACGTCAACAACTGAAAAAAACTCTGGAAGATTTTGAACAGCAACAGATAGAAAATCGTACAGCTCGACAACGTCTTGAATATGACTGGAGCGACAAACAAGAAGCCTACGAAATCGATACTATTAATGTGGGACTAAATAACTTTTCAAAGACCATTATGTTCCGACCAGGCGCTGTACGTCAACCTCCTGAGTTAGTATACAACTTAAGTATTGTTATTATATCTTCACCACATTATATTTTAAAACGCAAATACTGGTTAGCTACATATTTAGAAATTAAGTATGCATTTATTCTCACTTTATAACCACGTTTTTTAAACCTTCTCCGAATCAAGTACATTTTTTGAGGTGCTTTAATTTTCATCTCGGAAATACTCTCCGATGGGTTAACATATCCTGGTGATGGTGACTGCATTTGGAAAAAACTTTTACATCATTTTCAATATTTGTACGGTTAGTCCCTATATCTCTCTCTTTTAGCTCTTGATTTCCCAATTTTTCCCCATAAACATACATATATTTTTTTTTTTGAAGTGGTTTTACTTAAAACTAAATGATTGTTATGGGAGAAATATTATATTTTTATGGAATCAGGTTTTATGGGGCAAATACTTACATCGCATGTTATTGGGAAACAAAGGCAAATAAGGGAGATTTCAAAATCTTTATATTTACAAGCAAGTGACCGCAGCTAGGCCATTAGTATTGTGCTCCCTTGTTTCTTACATTTAGCTCGAGTTCTGATGTAATTTTATGAAATGAATGAATGACTTTACAACATTCTACGTCACATACTGCCCGTCTCTTGCCGAGATAATGCCTTAACCAGGCAAGTAAATTGTTATTTTATCCCAAAGGCAAATAAGAGACCAATGTGGCAGGGGTTACATTGTTAAAAGCACCATTTACGTCGATAAATGATGCAAGTATGTGCTCTCGTTTATATACATTACACAATTAAATAATGTGGCTGACAATATTGCCGCGATTGTGGTAACCCTGCGACCTTGAAATCCACTTTCCCTTTTCCAGGCATCCTTCTCCTCTCCATTGATATATTGCCATGGCTCTAGCTTGTTTAGTTCGCCTGCTGTGTCGTGTAAACTTGTGTTCGTGATACTCGTCACGAAAATGGAAAAACGACATCAACAGCAATTCGTCGCGATAAAATTTTGCTCGAAATTGGTCGAAACAGCTTCGGAAACCCTTAAATTGTAAAAGTGCATGGTGATAGTGCTCTTAGTCGTGCCTGGGTGTTTCGATGGCATAAAGAGCGGTGTGAAAGCGCATGAACAAGTTGAAGGTGAAAACGATGATTATTGCCTTTTTATAGCCGTAGAATCGTCCACAAAGAAATTTCTTCCACCGAGGCAACCCTAAATTAAGTCTACTGTCGCCAATATCGAAAGATTGCGTAACCAAGTCAACAGGGTGCGCCCAGACATCGCTCGTAACCTGATCCTTCATCACGACAACGCGCCGTGTCACACCGCCGTGTAGTAACAACCGCCTTATTCGCCTGATACATGTGTCACCCTGTGACTTGGCGGCCGTGAAGAGGGTACTCGCGGACATCCAAGTCAAAGCGTTCCAGAAATGATACGAAGCTTGGAAAACGCGCTGGAATTGTTGTATAGCTGCCTAAAGGGAATATTGTACATTGAAGGAAGGATGGCGGAATTGTAGAATAATTTTGAAATATGCGGTTTATATGGAATCTCATTACTTAATTGTCTCACCTCGTATATAAAGATTTTTCTATTGTGGTGTTAACTCTACTTTTGACGTATTCGTCCAATCGTCACAGATCCTTTTCGTACTTTTTAGAAGAAGAAAAAATCGTTCTATAGGACCTCATTACAGAGTAAGCCTCCTTACTGGGCTTCAGGATAAAGAAAACGATCTCCTGACAAAAATGTTGAATTCTATTTATCTCGACTTAATATAACTCAAAGGCATCACAAAAGTGTACATACATAGGCTTGGAAAAAGTATGTTCACTCTTACATCAACAAAATATCCTACAATTTTGTAAGAAAGTTAAAGAGTAAATGCCGCAACTAACTGATGGTATTGTTTTACAATATAATTTTGGTTAGCATTAGGTTTTCGACTCAAGGACTTGTATCATGCTTACATGCCAATTAAAAGAAGTATTCTTTGAATAAAACTAGTTTTGGGAATTAAAGGGAAATTATCATATAGTGAACTCTGCAATAGCAGCGGTTTTTCGCTGATGGGTTCACCAACACACCCACATAAGCGAGTTGTTTTGTTTATCTTTCTCTTCTGAGTACATACAAATTGAAAGAGAATGCAGTTGAATAGATTATCCGATTTACTTTGTTCTTATTTTCGAGTAGAACGCCATTTTTATCGTTTTCACCGCAGGAGGAAGGAATAAGGGAAAAATATATGATGAGGATCTTGTACCAGCTGTGGTAATAATATACGCCGATTAATTGAGTATTTCATTTTTCATTGCTTTTTACATTTGTTAATATAAGGGCACTCCAAGTCGTACGGGAAATTCAGCTAATGGAGCAGATTGACTGGAATGGACACTTCTCACTTTGCAGCAACAGCGGATTTTAAAATATTCAATAATACTGCATTTAGACATGAATAACATTCTGATGAGAATATTATTTTTTATTTTACTAGAAGTCTTTAAACTTCAAAGGGGTCGCGATCATGACGGATTCGTTCGTAGAGCTGAGGAGCTGAATTAACAACACGTAGTTTAGTTTTGCTTACAATATTTGCAGATTTTCGAAAACGAATTTATTGTTGTATTGTTATTTCTTTTTTGTCACAACTGATTCCCGAAAGTACACAAGAAAACAAATAGAGAATAACGTACACGTATAGAAATGTGAACATCACGTTTGTCATTCCGGCATCAAGAATGTGATAGGAAAATCGTTCTACGATCTGACGGAATATGACAACATTCCTGACTTTCAAATGATTGGAAGCCTTTTCGCAAGGGAAGCAAAGGGGACAGCTGATTTGATTGTTACCATGGAACGAAAAAATTATCAACGTTGTTATTGTTGTTTAACGTTGTGAATACCCTACAATGTAATCATACTGTTTGTAAAAGCAAAGACTACGCATTTTTTCTGATGTATTTATTCGACCTGGTAACAAAGTTATATCTGAACACCATAGCAGTCTGTTTACCATAAAATAACCGAAATTTATAACTGACGAGTTTCCAGTTAATGATTATATTCCTAACATCCACTTTTGCCGAAAATTAAATTCATTGAGCGATTTAAAGCATAATTTAAAGTGCTTTTATTTAATATTTTTTATGTACAAATTTAAAATCTTTTTCCAGACAAGCATCCGAGCAATATTGGGAGCATTTCAGCAAGGAAACATTGGAAGATTGTGAGAAGTGCCGACAAAAGTCTGTTAAATTACGACAAACACTAAATTCTATTTTGATGAACGCCGCACGTGACATACGCAATCAAGCTGATATTGTAGAACGCGCATTCATAGCGCGTATCAATTGCACTCAAGAAAATCTACAACGTTTTGAAAATGAGTTGCGTGATGTAAGTCTTAGAATATCATATAGTATGAATTTATTTATATCGTCACCTATCATGCAAGCCAATGTAACATCAATTAATTGAAAATCAATATTTTCGTTTACTAATATTAACTATATCGTATTAAAGTAATATACAAAATGTTACGAATGTTACCATTCAAACCAATTCTATTTACTCAGCATCTCGATCGTAGGCACGTTTTTGTAAGCTGAAATTTGGTTAAAGGAGAACGGATAGATTACATCTACAATACTTTCTGCTATCCTTAAATTGAAGCGTTGAGCGCTAAACAACTGTCAAAAATCCCCATAGCCGTACAATTTGATGCGACATCCCATAAAACGCGGCGTCAACGTTGAGCAAATCGAATTTTCTCATTTTGACAGCGCGTTATATGAGAGTATGCAATTGGGAGAAAATTTTGACAAATAAATTGTATTTTGCAAATAAAATATTTGTTGGAAAATTAATTCGATTTGTGGATGCACACATTTGTCAAAGCAGTAAGATGTTGAAGAGAGAGAGAAAACGCTCTTATTTAGGGATAGCGCGTGTTGTTACTCATTAGCGTTAGGATACGCAACGCCGAACGCTCCAATTTAGGTATGTCAGACTCGTGGACTTCCATATTATTTTTTTATATAGAACTTGATTTTGAAAGCTGTATTTTAGTTCTTGAATTTTCGATGAGCAATATCTGTCTAAGCGGGTGGGGTAGAATGTTGCATGTATTTGGATTGAACACTAGGCTATATGCAAAAACTAGTCTTTACCCAATACCATAAGAGGCATCTGACGCTGCGCTGACGGTAATCGCATACCCCTCAAGGAAAAATAGATGGGAAGACACAAACAGATCAGATAATCAGATATCTGACCAGTACCATAATATGGTAAATTCCTTGTAAACAATGAGTACTTTTTAACGCCATATAATGCAATGAACATTGCATAAGATTAAGAGTATTTGAAATCTTTATATATTTCTGAGAATAAGAAATAACGTTTGAGCACAGCTTTACTGTATCTTTATTTGCTGAACAATGACGCCGTATATTTTATACAGCTCATTATTACATCGGCTGCGGTATTCGCCATCCCAACTCATCGAGAACCGTTAATCTTACGTATAACCTTTCTCTCGAAGCTCCTAAATCCGACTCATCAGTCATTTTCATTATCCATGCCTCCGCACCGTATAGCAGGACGGGAACGATAAGAGACTTGTTTGGTTTTCGTTCGTCGAGAGAGGACTTTACTTTCAACGGCCTACTCAGTCCAAGTAGCACCAGTTGGCAAGAGTGATTCTGCGTTGGATTTCTATGCTACAATGATGTTGGAGTTAATACTGGTTCTAAGACAGTCGAAATTATCTACGACCACGAAGTTATGACTGTCAACAGTAACGCGAATGCGATGACTATTTGTTTGATGACAGGAGATATTTGGTCTTGCCATCATTCACTGCCAGACCCGTTCGTTTCGCTTTTTCATTAAGTCTTCATCGGCTTATGCCAACAACTGTACACGCTTATAGAAGATTATCCCTACTCTATTCAGCCCTGCAGCTTGTATTATTTTCTCCAGCAATAAATTAAAGAAATTACCCTGTCAATAACCTTGTTTGGAATCGAACGGTTCGGAGACGTACTTTCTCACCCTGACGGAGCTTTTAGTGTTGCTTAATGTCCGTTTACATAGCCGTATAAGTTTTGCGAGGATACCAAATTCGAACTCGATCATCTTATCATAGGTTTCCAAGATTCGGTGCATGGTGACTATCTGGTCAATGGTTGATTTACCAGGTCTAAAGTCATACTGATAAGGTTCAATCAGTTTACTGATGGCTTTAGTCTTTCACACAATCCCCTCGATAACCGTTTTGTAAATTGGGCTGATCACACTTAGAGTCCAATCGTCGTTTTTTTTCAAGCGACCGATTGCTATTTGAACATCTTTATAGTAGGGCAATGAAGCATCTGTTTCGTCGTTATCGATAGGGAAATCGGCTCACCATTTCCTGGCGTAAGAAAGTCGAGGGTTTTGCAGCTGCCGTCCTGTGCCTAGATTTTGCTTTTATGCATTTGGCCCATAAATTTTCCTGAGAGAATGCAGAACCTACGAAAAAGGCTTTTCCGTAAGCCTCCGTTGATTTTTTTGACAAGCTCCGCGGACTCAAAATTAAATCAAAAAGTGTCACTCCCGTTTTATTGGTAACTGTGCTTCCCCAAGTTACGTGGTTGGCATCTTTATTCCCGGAAGAACCGAAGGTTCGGTGTCCTTTGGAATTCCGTCCTTCTATTTTAAGACTAATTATTTATATACAGTGGCTCATAGTCGAAAGTGATGCAGCTATTTAAGAAATAGTATAATAAGTTTTATCTAAAATTTATATATATTTCCCAAAAAAACTTGAATGCCATTTCATTGATGCTTTAAAAATTTTATATTTTATGTTTATTTTATGTAGTTTACAGCAAAAACAAACTTGTACCATCAGTTTTTTGATCGTGGGCTTTAGACTTTCAGACAATTCCTCAGAACCTTATGTACTTAATTTTAGAAAAAAATAAAAATGAATCACTTGTCACAAGTGATTTGTATGTGTGCTTGCGACTGAGACCTCTCAACCAATTTTGATAAAAAAAAAATTGTATGTGTTGAAAAGAACTTAAAAATATTTTAAACGATATCTTTGGAATTAACGATACGATCTTTGTATTTTAAATTTGTATTGTTAATTCATATTTTTTGCTTTCAGTGTCTTCAAAAGCTTGCTGATACAGAAACACGTATTGGGCAATTGCAACGTGCAGTTCGTAGTTTTGATTCTGCAATGAAAGTTGCTCAGACTCGCATGGATAACCGAAGCTTCAGACCCAATGTAGAGAGCTGTCGTGACTTTGCCCAACAGGACCTCATCGACGAAGTGGCAATAATACAAAGTGGGGTCACAGCCATGTTATCTGAGTTGGACACTGCAGAAAATATTAAAATTGATTTAATGCAAAGTCGTAGCACACTGGAACGAGAAATAATGTTGAAGCGACGAACCTTATGGTTGGATCGAGATCGTTGTATGTTGCTTCGTTCTCATTATCCGTCAGCTAGTGCTTTAAGTGGATTCGCAACTATGTAATACGTCATTGAAATATTTAACTTTACAACTTATCAAACATTTAATCGAAATACACTTATCTTTCATACACTCGCACAAATTCTAGTTGTTTTCGAACAAAGGTAATTACTACCTTTCATATCATCACAAGACAGTACGCCCTACCGATTTGAATTCATTTCTTGGCCAGGGTTAATATCAGCTCTAATTTTACCAGCAATATATTCCTAATTAACTGTTGAGGTGCGTGACATCAAATTCATAGCCCTTAATATATTTACGGTATTGGCCTTAGCCAGGAGATTGTTTTGAGTAACATTCGAGTTCTGCTCTGTCCCTTACGATTTACTCTAAAAAGTGCCTTGAAATCTGTCGGCAAGTAATTAATGGCAAGTTTGAATACTCTGGTCTGGTCTTAGGAAAAAAAGAAAAACGTTTGTATTGTCATTTGTGACGAAGGATGTATTATTAGTGTAAGAGCAGTCATGGTCAAGGAAAAATTCTTTATATATTTCTTTGGAGGGTTCCAGTAGCGGAACCAGAGCTTGACGGAGATCGACCGAGTCTCAGTAGGTGGTTTTTTGTAAATCTACATATGTATGTATATACATAGATTGTAATAGATACCCAACAGTGATTGCAAATAATATTACAAAAAATCTGATCGTACATTTGTCCAAGTATCAAGTATTATCAAGTAAACTCAATCCTAACTGATTTTATATTTTGCATATTAAGTATTGTATAATACACAATTTGAAATTGAATCTACTTTTGCCTATTAGGCTGCAACTACCCAACGCGCGTACCAGCCGTCCATAGTAACCTATCTTAAGAGAGTGCCATGTAAACACAAAGTTGTCACCGCTTGCCCAAACCGTTAGTGACGGTTGTTTCGCAGAAACCAACGAAATTTTGATTTTTCCGTAAAACCGGCTCGGCTCATTTTTCGTTGCTATACAAGGTTGCCAGTATAGCCTTTCTTAAAGTAACATTAAATAATCGAATCTTAGCATATATTGGGTGGTATTTTAGACATAACTTGACGAATGTTAGTTTTCAAATTTTTTCCATTTTCACCAAACAGATATCATAAAGGATAGCTTATACTAAATTATAATAAATATCCTGAATTGAGTAGGGTGTAGTCGAGCTTTTGGGTATGCAGTTACAGGCGCGGGGATATATTCAATTCGTACTCTTGTGTTTCCGTCGCGCACCCTGGAAACGTAAACAACCCTTTTACAAGATGCGGTGACTAACCCGTGTGGAGCCTTGGGTCATGGCTAAAAGAGAGGAAGCTTCAGTGGAACTCGATCGAAAATCGCTTCAGCTGTTACAAAGCGATGAAATGGTACTGTAATCTATATATGTCTGCAACGGGACTTGAATGAATACTAACAGTCCTATTCTGAATGAAAATTCCCCCCGAAAACTCCTAACTTTTCTGCAAAAAAAAATTGTGGTTATATTTTTATTCTGGGAGTGTTTTTTTTTTTTTTGAAAAATTTGAGTATTTAATAAATATAACACAAATGAACATATTAATATTTTTTTTTAGGTCAAAAATAACTTACAAAGTTCAGTTACAGTTGCTAATAGAACTGATGGAAACTTAACCGGATATATCACGCGGATTGTTTAAGGGTAATAAGGAGGAGCTAAACGAGTTTTGAGAGAAGGTGAACAACGAGTGGATACCGCAGGACCGCATATTAAAAATATTATGGAGTGGAAGAAGTTAAAACTTCTTTTCCAGGAAAACACGGTTACTTAAATAATTTTAAGTGAGGGGCTTATCCAAAAAAATACATGCGGCAAAAAGCGGCTGAAAACTCAAAGGCCAGAAAAGTGACAGGAGGTCACTAATGTAGAACGTAAATTGTCCCCTCCCGAAGAAACAAAATATAACCTTATTAGGAAGGAAGAGTCACTGGAAGGGTTGCTTGCGAAGAAGTTTGGGTTGCAGGAGCAGAATTAGAATTTTTCTACATTAAAGAGAATGCAGGTTGCGAAGGAAATCAGCTTTGACAAAAATTTTCCTTACATATATACATGCATACATACATAGAAAAATTATTAATATTCGGTCAATTATTCAGTCTTTATTTCATTATTTTTACATAGTTCAGGTACATGGTTAATGTTGCATAGAAAAGAAATAACAATGCAACAATAAATGCGCTTACAAAAACCTGCAAAATATTATATGCCAAACAAAAGGCTTTAATAATATCATGCGTATCCACGAGCGCCTCCCCCATAATGGCGGCTCCTTTGATGTATAAGGACGTCTAAGTAAAATAAAAAATATAGTTCGAGTCACAATGTTATTAATGCAGCTGTATCTCGCAAAGTTTTGTTGAATATTTTTGCGATCTGCTGCTGCTGCAAGGTGAGAAGCATCCGTACCAGTCAACCTGCTCCATTAGCAGAATTTTCCGTACAATATGGAGTGCCCTAAATAAATAAATAAATAAATATATAAAAACAATGTAAAAGCAATGAAAAATTAAGTACACAGTCTGTATATAATTTTCATCCATATATTTCATTTTTTTTACGTTCTCTACTGTATGCTACGAAGAAAACGATAGAAATGGCGCTTTACTCGAAAATACTCAGAAGAGAAAGATAAACCAAAAATTGCTTACCTAACAAAGTTGGATCTTTACCTGGTTTAGGAGGTATTAAAATGATCTTCGAAAGCTTCCAAGACTTAGGAAAATAGCAAAATCTTAATGTGATATTGAAGATATAATGCATGTGTTTGTTTGACATTATTGGTAAAAACTTCTCTAAGTGATTTAAAATTAAGTTGACTAAAATTCAATCTAAATTTTCATGAATTAATGGAAGAGAATTGGATCCAAGATTAGGCGTAAATACTTTGGAAAGATGCGGCGCAAATGAGATGAGTGTGAGTTCTCTTTGGTACGCCACAAAGAATAATTACAATATTATCAGAAGTAGATGATAAAGATTATACTGATTTTTGAAAGTTACTTTCCTTTTTTGCTCCAGAGCGCTCTGAAGCTCTTTTAGACATCTAATGAGTCGAAGAACGAAACCGCTGTGCAGTTTTAGATTTGTATTTGAGCCAATTTGAGAATTTGTTTAGGTTACTGAACATAAGCTAGTGATCAGACGATAAGTTAAAAAGTGATATTTAATTTACTCGTTCTCTATTCATACCACAAGTTATCCCGAAGTTAATCATCTGGGGATTTATGATATCGGTTGGTCGGTATGTTGACTGTCTGTTAAATAACATTTGAATATGTTAGCCTAGGTCGGCAGAAAAAACGTTTTGCATTGAAACAACTGATACTAGGATCCTTTACCAAGTTTAGGAAATAAATCAATGAATTGAGTTTCAGATACGTTTTAAAGAGGAAGACAATATATGGCGGAAACGTTTATCCAGAGCTCTCATATATGAACATATGTATATAAACTGAAGTGGAGTGAAGCTAGATTTTAGTATTGAACTTCTTAAATTATTGGTCAAATAAGTTTCCGATATTGCTTGGCGTTCTAAAAAGCCGTTAGTATTCCAATAATATATTATATATTACTTTATGAAATCCATCCATGGCTTAGATAAATCTTACTTTGCAACAGTAGCTTATGATCAGCACTGTACGCGTAAAGTCGTTTTGGGTATTTTAATGTAAGATCATGGGGAGGATGAGGACATGCGTAGAAGTTCACGCAAGTGAGAAGAGCAGATTTGACATCCATAAGCTGCAACCACAACAGACAACCGAATGGTTTTCTACTTGACTTGCCCACCTGCTTTCTGAGAGCACTCATCAACAACTCGGTAAAAGTGATTTGTGAGAACTTACGTACCGCCGCTACAAAAACAATTGGTTTTCGTCAATGAAAAAAAAAAACTGGTGCGATGAGAGGTGTAGTCGATGTCCAGAGCATACTTAGTGTACGGAAGGGGAGCACTTCTTCAGACTTCAGTTATTTACCATGCCACAAATCTTAGAAAACGCTCGTAAGAAAGTATTCCATATACATCACCTTTTCATCGATTCACAATCACGCACAACATGTGCAGGGTGGGATAGATACCGAAAGCTGAAAAGGAAAGCAAGACGCATTTGCAGACAAAAAAAGAAAGAGGCCGAGATGCGTGAGAACAAGGAGATTGAGATGCTGGCCGACAAGGGTAATGCTCGAAAATTCTACGAAAATATACGGCGACTTACGGAAAGTTTCAAGACCGGAGCGAACTCTTGTATGAACTATGCTGAACGGCAGAGAAAATGAAACACCCGGAGATGGTGAACCCTAAATCCCAATCGATGGCGATTGAACAGATGTGCTTAAAACACAACAAAGTGATGGGAGCTGACGGCCTATCGGCAGAACTATTCAAACATGACGGCGAAGAGCTGACCAGGTGCATGCATCAGCTACTTTGCAGAATATGGTCGGACGAAAGCATGCCCGATGACTAGTATTTAAGTGTGGTCTGCCCAATCCATAAAAAAGGGGAACCCCACCCAGTCTGCGTCAGCTATCGTGGGATAAGTCTTCTTAATATCGCCTATAAGGTCCTATCAAGCGTATTGTGTGGGAGACTACAGCACACCGTCAACAAACTGATTGGACTTTACCAGTGCGGCTTTAGACCTGGTAAGTCAACCATTGACCAGATATTCAAGTTTCAGACACGACGATTCATTATCGTGTGACTTCTTTAATTTATTGCTGGAGACAATAATATAAGCTGTACAGCTGCTGACGTACGCCGATGATATCGATATTATTGACCTTAACAACCGCGCGGTGAGTTCTGCTTGATAAGGAAGCGAAGCGAATAGGTTTAGTTGTGAATGAGATCAAGACGGAATTTCTCCTGTCATCAAACAAACTGTAATCGCTCTCGCGACTCGGGACTAATGCCACTGTTGACAGCCATAACTGCGAGGTCTTATAATTTCGTCTATCTACGAAAAACAAACTCTACAAGTCGATCATCATATCATCGTTCGAGAAAAAATTATTGCGAACGATTTATGGTCCTTTCCGCTTTGGCAACGGAGAATACTGTAGGCGATGGAACGATGAGCTGTACGAGCTATACGATGAAATTGAAATAGTTCAGCGAATGAAGGGACAGCTGCTACACTGGCTAGGTCATGTCTTCCGAATGGATGAAAGCACTCTAGCTTTGAAAGTATTCGCTGCAGTACCCGCGGGTGGAAACAGAGAAAGAGGAAGACCTCCACTTCGTTGGAAGGATCAGCTGGAGAGTGACCTGGCTTCCAATTGGAAGAACAAGAAGAAGAAAAACTGATGAAATTTTAAAATTTATGTAAAGCCATTTAAGAATTATGGCTCACAACATGAGTTAAATGACACCCAACTCAAAGCTGGGAACAAATTTCTTTAACTAAAAAGTACAATACTTTAAAAAAAGTACAATACTTCTTCAGTTTTTTTCATACCGCGGAATATATTTTATATATTAATAAATACTTTGATATTTTTAACAGTAGCAATCTTTATTCTATTTTGGATAATAAAAAGGTGTTTTCGGCAACATATAGGCTTGAAGGAAGGCTTGGCCTTTAAATATAAATTATTTGAAACGATAGTGGCACAAACGAGGAGACTTTGTCAAAACAACTCAGAAAACTTTTAAACAAAAAAGGAGAGGGGTGGACTAGTGTGTAGCTTAATTAAACCGCCTACTTGCCATAAAATAGGTGTAGGTCAACTTTTGTTTTACAAAATGAAGGATGTTAATTGCAATAGCGACCTTGCTCGTTCTTTAATACCCCAAACTTTAAAGCTAAGATATTGCGTGTTTCACACACTTAAATTTTTAAGGCAAGACAGCAACAAGTATTTTTTCTATAATTTATTAATTATTTTCGAGCTGTTTGGAAAATATTTATTTTGACTTTTTAATAAATTATTATAAGCTCGCTCTTTCCCGTTATTATAAGTTCTCTGATCAGGTGTAGTAAGCTGGAAGGGTTTTACATAGATTAAGTAAAATTAATGCAAATACAATGTAATATTAAATTACAACCTTTGCATTTCCAACAAATTCCACTCGCTGCTCCGGTGTTTGACTAAGCATAGAATCATTCAACTATTACCTACTGCAAAGAATTTCATACGAAATATCCTAACATCTTACCCCTGCTTATAAAGTCCGTCAACTGTTTTGTATACTTCCATTTTTACTTTCGCGAAAAATATCCCAGCCATCCTTCTCAAATTGTTGCATTTTTACGTAAGTTTTTCGCAACTTTTGGAAAACATATATGCTACCAGAACTTGGTGAAAACGAAAATGTCCGCTCAGCGTATCTGACGGTTAGCTATCCACCGACGAAATTTTAACAAACTGCTGCTAAGTGCTTTGAATGAAAAACTCTAAATCAGTTACAATTTTTTTCCACAGCTACCAAAATGTACATGCTCATTTAAAAAAAAAAACATCCCTACCCCCTAAGAGTGGGTAAAAAGACTAGATATTTTGATTCAAAACTCATTAAAGGGAGTACATGTTTAACACACGTTCTATTATATGAAAGTGATCGTACATCCTTGTTGCACACTTTTAGTCCACTTTTTAAAAAAATACATACGCTTCTACGCAAGTTCCAATCCCTCCCTGAAATAATTTTGTTATTAAATTTTTATAAATATTTAGTTTAAATTTACTAATATTTCTTGTATATTTATGAATAAAAAATAATAAATATAAGCAACAAAATATATAATTTCAAATAGATTCAAATAGATGCAATTTATATAATTTTTTCTATCAAATGTCTTTTTAATCAAAAATAAGGAAAAAAATGGAAAAGAAATAAATAATTAATGTAAATTAATGTACATTTTGCAAACCCTGTTAGCTGTTCTGAAGGTGTGTTGAACTCATTTTTCCTAAAGCTGTATGAAGGACAGTTCGAACAAAAAACAAAAAGCCATTTGCACCTTCTGCGTAGGTTTGGAGGATTTATTAGTACTGTACGAATATTATAATATAATAATAAAGTTGCCAAACAAAAAATTCAATCAAATTAAAATAAATGTCTTCCTTTTATAGTTTTTAAGTTTCAGAAAATCTGAAATAGAAGGAAAATAAGAAATTAGTTTAGTATTAATTTTTAAAATACACATACATTTGAACAGAACAATGTAAAAAAAAGGATCAACCCAAAAATGCAAACGAAATCTTATACTATTCTTGATTAAAAATTCTGTTGCGCTGCACTTTTACAATTTACTTTATTTTTGGATCCTTTTTGTAAACACATGCCTATGAACCAATAAAACCAACCGAAGATTGTAGCAGCATAGCCATTCTATGTGCTTCAATTCATATAAGAAAAAACATACCTGAAAAATCACATTGCAATAATTTTACAATCTTCAAAATGAAAATCAGTTCCATAAAATAAAACAATTGTCCTTAAACCGGCGAAAGGCAAGCAAAAAAACGCTGTCAGAAAACAAAAACTAAATATAATTTTTTTTCGGACGATTTGCATTAGTTGATTTGCGCAAGCTGTACATTTTTAGCAAATTTGTATTTTATAATTTTAAATTACATTATTTATAGTGACACAATTTATAGTATACTTAATGCGGAGTTTTTTATACAAGTTTTAGCCAGAATTATGAATACAGTTACAATTATAGTATAATGCAGTGACATGCCTATTCTCACTGTAACCGGTAAAGTAAATTTTGCTACTTTTTTCTAACACTCCAATTGCATATTTGCAGGTAAAGTAAAAAAGAAGAAGCTTTGGTATTTTCCTGAATACAAAAGTATTGTCACAGCGAGATAGGTCAACTTAAAAGTTTTCACTCCAAAATATGAAGATGAGTACTCTTTTCATTTTGTATTTAAATAGCATCTATCATTATACAAAAATTTAAAGGTAGTTTCATTCTCTCCTCGCAGTCGGCTTCATAGTTATCCGATATTAAAAGTGTTTCGTCTTTTTCGTGCTACCCTCTTTTATTAAAAAAGTGTACCATTTTTAAATAAAATATAAGCAGAGATTTTCCAAATTTTTTTTTAAATTTTGTACATTCAAAAATGTATTAATGTATTGTATTTTCCAACACTTCATCAAGTGTATGCCTTTCATGATTGTTGTATCACAATTTTAGTAAATTTGTAAGAAAGTATCAGAAAGGGAAGATGAAGATGAGGAGATCGCTGGCTTTGCTGTATCTACGTAGAACAAATCCATTACAAAAATCTCATATTTTTGCGACTCTCAAACACTTTTGAATTCAATCTAACCGCTAAATATATTAATATTAGGCAGTTAGCCCGATCACGGAACCTTGATCTTTTAATGATACCTATGTTGGTTATGTGAGGAAGGTTCCTCTCATCTTTCCAGATGCTCAAACCACTTGGTATATTTTACGAAGTTCAGAAGTTTAACGATGCATAGAGATACGAGCTATGCTAAACAATCAAAGAGATTATGACTATCCCTATCCGGGCAGCTCATCCACCTCGCAGTTTCCTGGGTGTCCCTATGACCAGGCACACCAACCACGGACAAAATTTTAATATATCCATACGTGTGTTCAATATTGTAGCATCTGCTTAGAAGATAACCCCAAAAAAAATTTAAAAAATACCTAGTTGAACATTTTAAGTGGCAAGATCAAACATTTCTGGGCAAACACGTTTATTTTCAAAAATTCCGAAGTGAGACTACCTTATGAAATTTTGTACCACGGTGGTATTAATGAAACATATATTCTATTTAATTGGCGCTTTGTAACCACTGAAGCGATTTCGTCTCAGCTCCTCCTCTAATTTTTGGTTTTGCGTCTTGGTGTTTTTCCAACAAATGGGGGGCCCACAGTTTATATTAAGCCGCCTCCGAACAGCTGATGGGTTTCTTATGAGGAGATTTAATACAATCGGAGAGGTTGACTTTCCCTGCAGAGGGGCGACCGTAATTAGAAAATTTAGCTTAAAAATACCAGTACGCAATGCTAACCCCTCGGCTACCGCCGAATTGAAAAGTAAATAGTTGAAAATTTGTTACTCTGTCTATCGTTCATTTTTTCCCATTACCGACTATTACGACGTACTAATAGAAATTATCTGTATGAAGAACAACAAAGCAACAGGAGCCGATGGTGTATCGACTTAGCTATTCAGATATCGTGGCATCAGCTTCTGAGCAAAATTTAATCGGATTAGTGAGCGCCAGATGATAGTAATTTAATACAAAAAAGCCCACAATCTATCAATTAACGTGAGAATAAATCTTTGCCATATTGCTTATACATAAGGCGTATTATGTGAAAGAGTAAAATCCAATGTCACGAATTGTTTGGATCTTATCAGTGGTGCTTCAGACTTGGTACGTCCTTCGGCACATATCGCCTCATCGCCGATTTCAAAACAGTTTTCAACAGCAAAGAAAGGAGCTGGCTCTATGCTTCCATGCCTTCCTCTCAAAAGTGCGCTCACTCATTACAAGATATTCAAGTTTTTCTTCAAACAACAAATTGTACAAATTAATATTATAGCGAACAGAACTGTTATTTACCTCCTAAAAACAAAAATTACACAGATGTAAACATACATACTATGTATATACATATATACACATTAGTAAACCCCACTCTAATATCTTATCAATATGATGTGATAAATGTAAAACGGTAATTTTAAAATATTTTATACAAACATACATACTATATAATATAGATATTTATTCAATTGAATAAACAGTTTAGTAATATTTTCAACCTAACCATAACATGAGTGTGTACAGTACGGATGAACTGGTGCCACCTTCGTGGATGAATGAAGCATTCTTCCAGAACTCTCTCAGGAGTTTTGAAAATAGCAACGATATCAAGGGAAGTAGCTTACTTAGATTCCAGAAAACCACTGCATTAAAATTATTATTATTAAATACTTATGCATATTCATAGGTGGTAACTGTGGATATAAGCCCGGCGAGCATGAAAGGGGATCATTATTCCAGCATTATGTTTCGAGTCAAAGTCCAATATAAAACGGACGCCAAAGAGACTCGTGTCATTACGAAGTCACTGATAGTGAAAACACTCCCAGATGAGGGTGATAAATATGATGTGTTATCACAATCATTATTATTTGAAACCGAAATTAGCATGTATACTCAGACTTTGCCGAAAATTAGTAAAATTTTAGCGGACCATGGAAATCCCATTACTCTTGCACCAAAGTAAGAAGATCATTCAATTTTTATACGAATTTCATTTAGAAGTTTTTTTTTGTATTAGAATATTATTTAGTTCGTTGGAGCCGCGGAAGGTGATTATCTTGGAGGATCTGAAGGAACAAGGTTACGAAATGATGCGCAATCGCCATCCAACGGAAAGTGAGATGAAGGCAATTTATCGAAAGTTGGCTAAACTGCATGCCGCGAGTTATGTTTTGGGGCAAAGTGAAGATTCTGAATACATAACCCAGCATCAGAATGGAATGTGTGGTTCGGAATTGGTTTTGGAGCACGGTATTTTTAAAAACGGGATTGGACAATTTATAGAATTTTTGGAAACGCAGCAAGAGTTTCAGGAATATGCACGAAAGTTTCAAGCAATGAAATATGATATTTTAAAAAAGTCACATGAACTGTTTTCCGTCTATAAAAATGGAAAACAAAATGAAATCCTTGTTTTGAATCATGGAGATTTTCATTTGAGAAACTTAATGTTCAAGTTTGATGAAAACTCTCAGATGCAAGATTTTATTTTGGTAACTTTGGTACTCATTAATCTACAATTCAAATAAAGCTATTACAATTGTAATTTTTCAGTTCGACTTTCAACTTTGTGTTTATGCACCGCCCGTTATTGATTTAATGTACTCAGAATACATAATGTGCAGTTCGGAATCGCGAGACAAATATGATAATTTTTTGAGAGCATATTTTGAGCAATTTAATGAGACCCTGCGGAAAATTAACTATAAAGACAAACAACTAACATATTATGGCCTAAAAATGTCTTCTTTGCAATACAGACACTTTCGTGAGTATATCATACGAATATAAATATTTACATACATGTGTATGTATATATTTTAAGTATACATACATATATGTATATATTTTATTTAACTTATTTCTTATTTTCTGAATGTGTTTTACAGTGATTTTAATCATTTCGTTTTTCGTACCCCTATTATATGCAAATGAAACGACGAGTTGCTACCAAAATCCGCTTTTCAACGCTGAGCTGCGAAAACTTTTGCCGAAACTTCTACTTAATGGCTACATGGACTAAATATTATATGGACGATATGCATATAAGCAATTGCATGTACACAAGAATGAGTATAAACATGTTTTCGTACGAGAAATACACAATATATGCAAAGTGTAGTGGATATATTTGAATTTTTTGATGCACATTTGAAGCTTGAACTCTTATCGACTACATTTGAACACAAATTAATTTATTTAGCATAAAGGAAAAACTTATTAATTCAGGTCACAAAACTGAGTATACACTCGATGATAAATAACAATTTAATTCACTGAATTTTTTTTTATTTAATAGGCTGTGGGTCCACCAGCTACATCTATTACGGCTTGCATCCTCAGAGGCTTCGAATCTAATTGTTGTTTGTTTTGTAAAATTAGGTGATATAATATTTCGCCCATATTCCAATAATTTCCTTTTTAAGTTCTTCTTTGGTACAGGGACTATATTTTTACAGCTTGGATTTCAATTCTCCCCATAAATGTTCTATATGGATAAAATCTGGGGATTGTGGAGGAGCTTTAAGCTGTTTTGGATCGTTATAAACCAACCATTCTTTCATCGCATAACTGAACCACCACCATGTTTCACTGTCCCGACTAAATTCTTATTTCGTAGCTCCGTGTTTGGCTTTCTCCATGCGATTGGCGTCCATCAGATCTCCAAATGTTAATCTTTGTTTCGTCAGTGAACATTACACTTTCCCAGAATTAACATGAGATTTCGCGAATTCAAACCGGGTTTTCCTTATTTATACTGGAGATAAATGGCTTTTTGCGTGTTATTCATCCATGCTTACGAAGAATACAACCAACTATATTTCGTAATGTTCCTCCATATCTCCATTTATTTATAATTTTTTTAGCTGTGCAATGAGGTCTGCCAATAATTTCACCAATATCTCTGTACGATTTACTTCCACAGGACTATTTTATCACTAACAGGCCTATTCTGTCGAGGTAACAAAATTTACTTTGGTATTAAAATTTACCATTCAGTAAGTTTTGTTACTATTTCGTATTCTGAACTCACTGTTACCCTGTAAATTTTGTTACCAGCAAAATAGGAGGTAACTAAAAAAAATCTGCTGTTTGATTTTGTATTGTTAGTTTGAGAAAAATTAAAAGCCAAAATGGGTCGACATATTTTAGGCCTGGAATTCATTGAAGATGAAGATAAAAGTGAAAAAAGGCGCATGCTTAGAAGCTTACGAGAAACAAATTACTCTTTAATTTGCATTTCATTCAATTTTTTTTTTGTCGCTTAGGCATGTTTTCCAAAATTATGTTCAAATATTTAAGATTTAATAAACACATAAATAAAACTTATTTATTTTGAAGTGGACCTTCTTCCATTTCGATGTAAATATTATTCTTTTTTACTATAGATACTGGCAAATGTAATTTGACAAGGACGAAAAAAGCAGTGCGGCCAAAGTTTTTCAAACATTGTAACTAATTCGCCCGAATATGAAATTCAATTTCGGGTGTTAAAAAAGTAACAAAATTTACTTTACCGGTAACAGTGAGAATAGGCCTATAATTCTATGCCAGCCATAGTGAAAGAAATACATAAAAAATAATAAATTGCGTATCTATCGATAACACGCAGTCAAAATTTTGAAATGTATTTCAATGCTAACGTGATCACATAACGGACAAAAAGATATTTAGAGATGCCATATTTAAAATGCAGGTGTATACTCAATTTTGTGAACTAACTTTATCAATAGTTTTAGTTTTTTGTTTAAATTTTTGCTTAATGCTAGGTAAATAAATTAATTTAGGTTCAAATATAGTCGATAAGAGTTCAAGCTTTAAATGTGTATCAAAAATATTCAAATATATCCACGAAATTTTGACTTACGAAAACCTTTGAAGCAACTGTATATATACATATACACATATATTCCAGCGGCAAATCTGGTCACCGATGAAATTAGTACACTTGACTTGCAAAAGCTAATGAAGAGTTGAATCGCCTTGAAGAACTCTTCGTTAGAACAATGCAATGAGGAGTTATAAATTAGTTTCCAAACACAAGCTCGGTACAAAATGTCACGAAAAAACTGATTTTACAGAGTTCGTTAAAATTTATCGTACATATGTATATTACAATACCTATATATGTGTATATATACATACATATAAATGTAAAAATAATGATTTTTTTGTAGATATGAAAATTCTAAAAGTTACCGACCGATTGACTTGAAATTTTGCAAGATTGTTTGCATGGTCCCTGGAAAGGTCAATACGAAGACCAAGTTCGGTAACTATTCGAAAAAATTTCATCTATGGTTGAAGTTACTTGAAATCAGTAGACAGGTGGCTTTCTGCTTAGATTAGCAAAATTACTACTTTTATCTCTGGGAAGTGGACTAAGGACCGATCTAATAAAATAATTAGTTTCCATTTTTCAATTTGCTTGAAATTTGGTACATTGATGGCTTTATGCGAACACGCACTTATGGTTTCTATTGAGTAATTTGAAAATCTCTTTTTAAGAGAATTGGATTTATATGTTTGAAAAAATATACATATTCGTGGTTCGTTTTAGCTAAATTTTTAGATTATATATTTGCCCAAATGCAACATTTCTGTAATGTAATTAAGATACGCCACTCTCAGTGTTCTGGCACGGTAGCAACGAAAAGCAATATTTTATAGCTCTGTTAGCATTTGTGGTGTTATGTGGTCGTAACCAGGCGACGTTCTGATATTTAACGTTTTTGCTATCTGAGACTAGGTCGTAGTCACGTCGGGTATAGCCTTAGTGGCGTAGTGAGATAAATGTGGAATCGTTAAATTATTCAATGCTGCATTGGGTTTGAATACTTTGTTACTTTTAGTTTTATTTTATATGATGGACACGCATTCTGCCATTCTCAGCGAGTCTAGGATGTTCGATTATTAAGCGCTCAATTAGGCTGTTGTTTGTTCGTTTTGTACTTCGAAAATATTCTGTGGGCGTTATCAGGCGAAATGGTTTCTCAACTGAAGTTGGTTGTCCGAAAACCTTGATCATAACTGGCGAATGATCGGAGGACAAATCAGAAATGGCTTCTACATTTATAAGGTTTCTGTCAATGTTTTTTGTAACTGCAAAATCTGTAAGATCATGTATTTTATTCGGATCAGTTGGCCAATGTGTAGGTTGCGTCGGAGAAGCATCAAGACGATTTTGGTTGCATGTAATTGTGTTATGTAATTGTCGACCTTTTGGGTTGACAAGACGGGAACCCTAGTACGTATGTTTGGCATTGTAATCACCTCCAGCATTAAATCTATTACCTAGAGTACTAAAAAAATCATTAAATTGCTTTTTTGTTATAGAAATCCGTGCTGGACAATAAATGGCAGAGATTACTAGTTTCTTTTCTCGATTTTTGAGACAGACTGGTGTTGCTTGCATATAAGGTCTTTCATAAGAATCTAAGGAGTGACGTTTTAGTCTATTTCGAATGAGAATAGCTTTACCGTCATGTGCCTTACCATCCGGATGGTTTGTGGTGTAGAACTGATAACCAGCTATATGAAAGTATACATGCTCGTTAAATGCGTCCAATCCTTGTTCTTGTAAAAACTTGCTATGCTCGGCTTTGTGTTGGCTAATTCTGTTTGCGTTATATAGGTATAGGTATAGGTTGGTATAGAGTTCTAGTTCACTCCTTTTTTATTTACAATAGCAGACAACATTTGATTTTGGGCTTTGATTAAGTCCTGAATCATATTTTGCATTTTAGACATAAGTTGTGTCATACATTGCGTTAGGTTAAGTATCATTGCTACTATAACACCACTCTTCGCGCTTGAGGACACTTTCTCTATTCGAAGAACTGGATTTTTGGGTTTTTAGTTCTATATAACCAGGGCAATTTGCAGTGTGATTACCAGCACAATTACTGCATTTCTTAGCAGTTAAACCTTCTTTTTGCCTATTGCATTTAGATGAGTAATGTAACTCACCACATACTACGTACATAGAACGAAGAGACAATATGATTTTGTGTGGTCCAATTCTTGGCAATTCATGCATTGGACCGGCCGTTTTGTTTTATATGGCGTTTCGACTGAAACTCTTCGGTGTAGCAAGTGCTGCATTTTATTGATAGAGTGCACTTAATTTTTTCTGAATTCTACCGAGTTTGACGCAAGTTCTGGTTGCTAAACTTTGTTCTTGTTAGTAATATTAACTACGGAACTAACAACCTACTGTAGGTTCTATGCCCTTTAGAAGGAGAAGACCCTTCGAACTTTTCAACTGGTAAGAATAACAGTTTTTTTTTTGTTATTTGATATAAAAGTTACAACAACATGAAAGTCGCTAGTTTCTATTATGTGCGCTATATTTTTAATAAACTCATTTGAGCTATGCTCGCGTAAATAGATTGGTGGTGGCTTGGCAGCTCTTACTTGAGCAATAATATCTTCCGTAGAGCCTTTTCTCATCGTCTCTTCCTTCGTGTTGGCTCTTTTTATGTTGTCTGTATTCTCCAGTGGGCTCGATTTTCGTTTCACCGTGATACACTGGTCAATACCTGTCTGCACTGTGGGAGCTTTCTTATTTTCTCCTTCCTCTGCTGCCTGCTCTTCTTTCCTCTTCCCTGTTGAAGTTGTCTCTGCTGTTTCCGGTGCTTGAAATGCGGTGGTTTTTTGTTTCGTTGAAGGCGGGGGGTGTGAGTTTTCTTTTAAGTAGGGGGAAACAACTGGAAAGGCGTTGCGCTATTGAATGTCTTCGCTTTCTTTGAAGCGATCGCGAAGCATTCATATTAATACTAATTTTTTAATATTAATAATGTTTTTTATATTGTTTTATAAATTTACTTAGTTATTTTATTTTCAGTTATTTTTACGAAGCTCCCTATCGTCAAGCACAACATTGTGCCCATCCCACATGGTAACGAAGTCCCATACCTTAGTATTCACTTGGATATACGATTAACTAAGAGACGACTCATTTCCGCCAAAAATATGCCGCTGAAGTTTCAATTATCTAGTTTATATTGGCTTTTAAGAAAAAAATCTGGGCTTGACCTTGAAAACAAAGTGTTTTTTTTTTATAATGCGACTATAAAACCGATATGGAAACCAATTATAGCGTATAGCTTACGCGATAAATCTAGATATAATACAAAGATTTTAGCCGAAAGCATTGAGAATAATAACACGGTGCGCCTGTACAAGCGTAATGAAAATATACATAGAGACTGCAAACTCATCTGAACTCTTTGGCTGCTACTTTGGCCTCCGCAACAAGTCAAACATGCCCGAAGAGAAGGAACTTACCACCCTTGTAAAGAGCAACACTGAGGAGCAGTTCATTCATAGCCAATGGGCTGTTATATTTTAATTCAGTTTTTATGACTTCAAAACTTATTGTTATTTATTTTTGATTATAAATTATATTTTTCCTGATTTTTTCCTTAAGTGTCTTTTCGCTAGTAATTTTTCTCACAAAAATTGGGGAGTTCAGTTTTGAGCTGTTTGGCAACTCTAGTTTTTTAAAGACGCTAGCAAAACATAAATATGCTGAATACTTTTAGGCGCTACTATGCCACTACTATGCAACACATTTTACAGTTTGTTAATTTTGGTTTCTTTTGTTGTACACTTTTTTTTCGGAGCGCCAACCAATTTGGTAATTTAAGTATGTAAAATAAATTGACATTGCTTTTTTTTGTACATATTCCGCTACATGCACAGTAGGCATTCTTCTGCACTAATTTTTGAGAATTAAACTGTGCCATCCAAATCGGAAATGAGGAATGGGCTACTCTGCATCAAGGATGCAAGGCTAATAGAAATCAGAGAGGGCGATATGAACATGATATTATCGGAATGACGACTCTGTATCGAAGTTGCAAAGCCTATTTGAGAAAAGAGTACAATGAAATAGGAAATGAAGTAATCGACGGATCTATATCAAAGCAGCATGGCCAATAGAAAAGGCAGGGGAAATACGAATGGGAAATAAGGCTAATTAAGAATTGAGAATAAATCAGTTTAAATAGGAAATGAATAGAAAGCCAACTCTATCTTGACAAGGCTAATAGGTATCAGAAAATTTGAAAATGAAGGAATGGTTAACTCCGGCAAAGTCGATTAGTCTCAACCCATTAAGCGCTCATAATAAGCATCTTTGGCCAAATCGTCCTTCGTTAGTTCATGGGCGCAAATCAGCGATATGTTGAAAAATTTCGCTTTGATGCGGTTTGGGTGCGAGTCGCTCCTCAACCGGGGTGAATGCCGGTACTCGACGACGGAGTCAAATTTGCGCTCCTTTATATGGCTTCTGTAGTAAATGTCACTGTCCATCGCACTTTTTGAACGGCGGTGATGTCGGCCTTTAGTTTAGCGGGAAAATCAACCAGCTGGGAATAGGCGCTTTCCCAGGAACGGACATTCCAGGTGCATGCCCTCAAATTGTAATCCTTAGTTCGTTTGCTGTGGGCGTTATCAAAAAAGGGTATCTAATCCGAGGCGTTATTGCAATTTTCATTGGAGCTGGTTTCTATTCAGCAGGTCTCAAAACCAGCGCACAACCTCCCTAGGTGAATAAGTTTAATTTAACAGACGCTCCAGTTGGACTTCAGCGAACCCTTAAACCGAATAAGTCAGGGTAATTCTACTGAAGCTTGCTCACGGATCCAGAGTGCACGCAAGAGCAGGAGCTGAGTATGGCCCCGCGACTGCAACTGCATACCCAAAAGCTTGACTACACAACAGAATTGTGGGCAAACTTAACAACTGAGTGCTGCTCTGATAAATAGCATAGCTTTGCGGCCCATAAGAATCATGGGCGTTCGTTAACTTAAAAAAAAACGAACTGGCACGGATTAACAGAATTCACCCCTTTAGTGCCGGAATCCCTTTATCAGAAATTTTGAAAAGGAGATTCGGAGTCAAGTTGACATCCACAAGCGAAATAAGTGGGAGGAAAACTTAAGGCCTTGTAACCCTTCCTCTGGGCCACAGTCAAATCATTGTCAGACATCGGGAAGTCGGAAGCACCCAAATCTATCAGCACAACCGAATAACATGCTGTAGCTAGAAAACCTTGAACCAGCGGGAGCAGACTATTTCACCAAGATCCTCAATACCACTCTGACCACTCTAATAAAAAACCGGCGAAGCTTCCTTATTCCTACCGGAGCTAAAGAGGTGGACCATGGGCTACCTGAGTGGTCGACAAACATCCAAGTTCAGAAAGATTAAACAAGAGATTCCGCTAGGTGATGTTCTCCATCTGAAAGGGTTTCACTTATCTCATATGCCGATGATAGCTCGATATTGTCGTTTATTGGGATAATGCTGACTTATGGATGTTCGAAAGTGGACTGGTACATCGATCACCTTTCCAATTCTTCAGTGCCAGGCAATTACAGCTATAACCTGCGAAATCCTCGGTTACCCTTTTTACCAACTGGAGCTCGGCATCGAGTTCGTTGGCGTAAAAAATCCAATTATTAATAACCCGAAGTTACTAGAAGTTACATTCAGCAGCCTTTACTCCTCCTTTACTCCACATACGACTGCAATTGGCACAAAACTACAGAGCCGCTACAAAATCCTCAAAGCGTTAGCCGGCAGCGCACGGAAAAAAGCCGTTGCTGGCAATATAAAAGTCGAAACCGTGACAAGAAGCCTCCTGCATCATTTGCACAGCGAAATTTCTATGCTGAGTTAAGGATCATAATGCTTTGCTGCGCATGCAATATCTGCTGTGTTGCTATCTTAGGGAACACCCCTACATACACTTACTAAATGCCGAACCACCACCTAGGCAGATCAAGAAGGGAGTACTCGACTTGTAAGTACTGTCACAGCACATTTTACGGAAACCACTGGAGTCTCTCAGCATCTTCACGAACTTCCTTCCAGTGAATGGCGTTCTCGGAATCACCCACCAATTGCAGGCGAGGAACTCAAGATGCCACGAGAGTTCCACGTTATACTGGCACAACTAATGATATTGCCTGGATATTGTAGTCGTATCTCGCCTACCTATCTATGCATGCAACAAGTCCGCGCACGATACAAACCACCTCTTTAAAACCTACTTAGATAACCCCTCTTTCTCACTAGCCATCACCCCTCGAAACAGCATTTCCTCTACCTCCCGATAGATGTCCTCGATGACTTAAACTGATCTTGCCTGCTCCTAAGCCTAAGGATAGGAAATACCACTGCCTCGAAGCTGCAAACAATAGGAACAGAGAAGGGATGCAAATAGGAACTGTGGAGAAGCTCGACAACGTGTCGAAGCTACAACACTAATAATGAACAACGAGGGTCATGTGATTAAGAAATGAGGGTAGGGTCGACACTGTCTTGAAGGTACAAAGCTAATAAAGAACAGGGAAGGTGCGAATAGGGAATGAGGGGAGGACCGCCTCCCTCTCTCATAAAAAACCATCAACTATGCGGAGGCGGCTTCGTATAAACAGTAGGTCCCTCCGTATGTTTGAAAAGCATTAAGACGCTCACCAAAAATCGGAGGAGCAGCTCAAACAAAAATCGATTCCGCGGATACAAATTTTATAACTTGTTATTTATAATCAACTACACACAGAAGCAATCAATCAAGAAACGATTTAGAGATACCCCATTATGCGAAGCTTATTTGTAACTGTTCCGTTAGGTGAAAGAAATATAATTGTTGACGATATTTCCTATCTCGACTTAATAAACAAATTTTTTATTTACATAGTTGTACATAGATACGCAGTTAAAAATGAATTCTACTAACGTACATAATATATGTACCATGTATGTATGTATCTACGTTATTTCATTTACTATTTCTTGTTTTATAAAATCTTAACTAAGGCATTAATATTTATAAATATAAAGAAGCCGCAAAAACAATATCTCTTTTAAGAAGTCGCACTCCTTCAGAAAATTTGTTTTCCAATTCTGTATTACCGATTGTTTTTGCTGCCTGGCATAATTGCCTTAAAAGTTCTTCAAGACGACGCATGCAGCGAATTATTGAACCTTCAAAAATATCTGTCATCCTGCACACACTTAAAAAGGAAGCCCCCTTACACCATGACAAAACGACGTCCATAAGGAAAGGTTTGAATTTCTCCACGTACGTTTCTTCGTCCACATTTAGCTTACACTCCGTTGAAATTTTAGCAATACGACGAGCCAAATCTTGCATGGATCGCAGGGGACCCGACAGTTCTTCAGTAGCCTTTGGTGTTTCTGAAGACTTTTCATCGCAAACGAAACAAGACAGTAATGCTACTGATTGCGCAGTAGTAATTTCATTAAATATACCATTAAAAATCATTTCGGTTAGAAGAAGTTCATCCGCAGAACTTAATTCACAAGCAACGCGTCCCTTAAACTCGATTACATCGGCAGCTGTACAATACTCCATACGGCGCAATACACGTTTCCGATGTTTTAATTCATCCATTTGGAGCAAACTACGCGCCTCCTTCAATTTCGTCTTCACTGCTTTTAGCTCCTCTTGGACTTTTAATTTGTTAGTGTATCGAGCGTAAATGTTTTCTAATTCTGTAGAATTGTGTAGTGGATGTGCAAATAGGCGTTCTTCAAATTTACCAATAGAATCCACTATCTGTTTGAACTCATCACTCTTTATATTCATTTCTGTTACCGGATTAAGTAGAGGTGGTCCTTTTGGAAATCGTTTTTTCACTTCTGCAATTGTTTTTAAAACACTTCGACGATTATCGGCTGGCCGTAAATCATTTGGATAGTAAACACGAAGTGAAGAAATTTGAGAAATAAGAGAATGCAGTACAGGAACAACTTCCATGTTACCTTTTTGCCCTTGTTTGCATGGTTTTGGCTCATCGGCCTTTGCGGAATCCTCTGTAACATGCAGTAAAACATCTACTACTATAACTGTTTCCGCTTTTAAGGGATTTTTCGCATTGTTTGTTTGCTTTTTAAAATTCACTACAATACCCCAATCAAATTCGTCCTTTTCATTTTGCACTTTTATGAGACGACCGGGTTGCAGAAAAGGAACTAGATATTCAGGTTTTGTAATCCAACGCCTAAATTGTTTTCCATATGAATCTAGTTGTTCTCGTATATGATGATAAGAAGCAACGCTATGCTCTTCGGTGATCTTAATCTTGGCCAATTCGGTTTGTTTATCTTGAACTTGTTTGTAAAGTTCTGGTATTGACGATTGATTCTGAAACTGAAAGAATGACCGTTCTAACATGTATTCCGGATTGATTTCCTCAACGCGCAACAAATTTAGCACCATGTTGTAAGTTAGATGAAATGCTGAATTTATGGGATCAGCTTTTCCTTGTACTATTCCACGCCCAATTGAAGGAGATACTTTTTCATCAATCATTAAAATAACAATACCTTTATCATCAAGACCACGCCGACCAGCTCGACCTGCCATTTGTATGTATTCTCCAGATGAAATCCACCTGTGTATAAATATAAATTTGTTTGTACTTATGTAAAAGCTTTTAATTAAGAAATGTATTAATTATGTAGTGCGCAAGACCAGCGTGGCATACATACTCTTGTGATTTTATAAAAAAAAAAATCTGCAAAATATTTTGTACACGCCTTTGGAAATCAACCTATTTCAAAACTAAGTTACTTAACTATTTAAAATTCTCGTAATTACTTTTTATGTCCTTACTACATTTCTATTTGCTTGCGAAATAATTTAATTAATAATTAAAGCTAGTTCAAACAATTGTGTATGTATTTATAGGCACTGCTCACGCTTTACTTATAATTTTAATTAAACTTAAAGTAGTGATATTTAATGGAGATCTGTATTACAAACCTGAATTTCTTTCCATCAAATTTGCGCGGTGCTGTAAATAGTACCGTACGAGCAGGCATATTCAAACCCATTGCAAATGTCTCGGTTGCAAATAGTGCTTTGAGTAATCCTTCACCAAATAAAATTTCTATAATTTCTTTTAGGATTGGCAAAAGTCCACCGTGATGTATACCAATCCCTCGTTTCAGTAGAGGCAATACGTTTTCAACTTGTGGCAGCTGGCGATCTTCTTCAGAGAGAACATCCATGGCATTATTGAAAACTTCGTCTACTAATTTTTTTTCTTCAGCAGTGTTAAAATCTAACTTTGCCATTTGCATTGCATAAACCTCACAATCTTTTTTACTGAATGAAAAAATAATAACAGGCGCAAAATTGCGCTCCATTATCATTTTCACAATTTTAAAAATATTTGACTGGCCACTGTCAACACCTCTAATGCCAGTTTTTCGACCTCTTTGATCACCTTTAGCAGCATCGCCTGTAAAAATATAGAATATTTGTTATAAAAAAAAATACACACTTTGTGAAAAGCCATCCAGCTCACCTGCATTTTGCAAAACAGCCATTGCCGTTGTAAAATTATCTTCTTTAAATTGACCTTTTTCGTCAACTATGAGATGAATGCCATCGCCTCCAGCAGGAAATATATAATGTTGAAGTGGGGTTGGCCGGTAATCTGTGTAAACGACGTGACATGGCTGCTTGTGAAGATGGCAAACCCATTCGGCGAATTGTCGCGCATTTGGTATAGTAGCAGAGAGAAATACGTAGCGAACATTGTCAGGCAATAAAATTAATGTTTCTTCCCATACAACACCTCTTTCTTTGTCACGCATATAATGGATTTCGTCAAATATGACCCAACCAACTTCTCGCATTATTTCACTTCCTCGGTACAACATATTTCTTAAAATTTCAGTAGTCATAATAAGGCAAGAAGCTGACGGATTTATTGTAACATCGCCAGTAACTAAACCCACATCTTTAAACTCTTCATTGAATTCGCGATATTTTTGGTTAGAAAGCGCTTTGATAGGGGTAGTATAGATTACACGCTGTTTGCAACCTAATGATTTGGCAATAGCATATTCAGCTACTACTGTCTTACCAGCTGATGTATGTGCTGAAACTAGAACACTTTGTTGATTATCAATGCATAGGATTGCTTCCTTTTGAAAAGGATCCAAGACAAACGGGTATTCTTTTGCAGGTGGACCGGCAAGTGGCTGCAGAGGAATATACTCCTGTCCCGGATATACTGCTACTTCGTGTGTACATGACTCCGGACTTTCAATAACGTGTACAGCTATGCGTGAGCGTAATGCATCTACACATATATCATCCAATATAGATTCAGTATCTTTTAATCGCTTTATAGGGACCTCGTCATTTTCCTGCACTTCTTTAATTGTTTCAAATCCGCGTTTTTCACCACTTTCATTATTTCTAAATTTGTACCAAAGACAACATAAACGCAAAGTTTTAATGTACACATATACAAGAGTGTATACCTTTCAGTGAGAGAGCCTGCAGGCTTCACTTGGTCGATAACCACAACTGGGTTAGCGGCTACGTTATCAGTGTTGTCATCATTGAAACAATCAAATAAATCGTCAACATCAGCCATGATAATCTATAAACATTAACAATTTAAATAAAAATTAACGAATATTCACAGCGTCGGAAAACCAGGTATAAAAACACGTTAAATCATAGAACACGAGACGTCAAAATTAGTTCATGGAGTCCAGTTTCAGGGTTGCATTTATTTCAATAGGGTGCGTCTAAATACAGAAATTACATCCCATATATAACTTTTTTAATGCTTACTGTGATCGTCACCAGCTTTTGTTTCGCATTACTTTGCTGAAAATAAGGATGCACAAGATTATATTTGACTTCTTTTGTGCAACTTAATAATAACAACAAAGTTAATGACACAACTATCATTTTCTCTTTCACTATTTCTTTAAAAGAGTAAGATATCTTTTACATATAACCCCAACTAATAATTATTGAAGATTTGAAGGTTTCCATTTTAATTCTTTGTAGTTCGCCTTTAAACACCTGAGATGAATACAAAGAAAATGGATTTTTACCGCTTGGACTTCAGGCCGATTTTAGTATATATATATTTTCACTATGATCTCCGAATTCTATTGATTTTGACTCTAAAACTGAACTGAATACAAATATTACTTAATATTAAACATTTGAAGGTTGAGCGAGAAAAATTGTGTAAAGAGTTTGATTGTATATAGTCCTAGTTAGATGAGATATTTACAGCAGAGTTAAAATATATTAGTACGTGTACAATTCTTACCGGGGCTAATTTTCATAAGTACTAAATTTTTAGAACTGACTTACGCTGTGACGTTTATCGGAATTTCCTTTTCCCAATTATCAGCTGTTTTGAAATTGAAATCTATTGATGTTTTTTGGCAATAATTGCTTGGGCGGAATGTACAAAATTAATTTCATTTAAAGTTTTCATGAAAATTAACACATTTGTTTTGCAGCAAGTAATAAAATGGCGTCTTCTGCAACGGGTGGAGTCAAGCCCATGACCATTGCTGGTCGTATGGTTCGCGAACGGGAGCGTTTAATTGGGATGTCAAATGAGGAACGAGCATGGCGCAAGCAATGGTTGAAAGATTTGGAGTTGCACCATGGACCACGTATAGTGCCCGAATTAGAAAAAGAACTAAACAACCCAATTAGACGTTTTTATAGATTTCCTTTGGATAAATTAGGAGAGGCTCTGAGTCCAGTTCTGGTATGTAGTCAAATAAAATCCATTTCAAATGTTATGTAATATTAGTAAAATTTGTATGCCTTCCAATATGAAGTTCTTAATAATAATAATGTAATGCAGGGCCAGCAACGTGCGTATACAATCCGATTTTGGACGGGAAAAGCTGCTTTAGCAATCGCAGCCATTTACGCTGGTGCCTACTACTTCAAATATAATCAAAATGTAAGCGGCTTAAGATATTAGCTCAAACACTCATTCTTGAAATATATTTTGTGCATTTTTGAATATAAAATGTGCCCAAATTTTAGGATTGGACTCGTAAGGGTGGCTGGCGTGTAATTACTTCCCGACCTGTCTGCAATCCTGGTGACGAGGGTTATCCGAAAGTTTCAGACAGATCTCAACCTTCAGATTATGCGGCCCGTGGATTCAAACAGGCGCCAATATAATATATGCCAGTTAAATTATTTCTAAAAACCACATAAATGTCGATAATTTCAAAGTTTTAAAAAATAAAAATAGCAGCAGACTATTAACACAAAAATGCATTAATATGGCTATTTCACAAAAAAAGGAAAAAATAAATACTCAGTCAACCTGTCAATTTCGATCAATCACTTTGTACGAACGGTTAAAAAAATACGCTGATCACGGCATTTTACCATTATTCTTTATTACATTTATTCTACGATTTATAGGTGAATGTTATACTTTTCGTTCAAGCAACTTTTCAGTGTTCTACAACCACATATTTACTCACAAAGTGTTTCGTATATGCTCAAAATTTCTATTATTTTCCTTTCTGTATTGTTTAAATCAAGAAATCAATGTATGTATAGTGGAATCGCAAGTGAATTTACCTTCATATATAGGCTTTTATTCAATGATGTGTAAAGAATGAATATATAATACAAACGTATATATTGACATATGTATGTTTGCATGTGCATGTATGAAAACAACATAATTTTGGCTGAGCACATGAGATTTTCAGTTAAATGCATTTATAGTTGCACAAAGCGCTTACAAATTAACGTTTATTTTGGCATTAATTACGTATGATATGCAAATAATAAAAATATATGTTAGCAATGTAAGTATACATACATATGTTTTTTTAAAGTAAAATTCTTAAACAATTTTTTTTAATTGGTACCTTTCATAGAAATGAAATTGTAGTGTACCTCGGCCCGAAGTATGTAAATATCATTAAGATTGTGTGCAGAAGTGACTTGGCCTGCTTAATCCAAAACTACTCTCATGGTTTTTGCAATTTATGAACGGAACAATTTCTTTTTTTATTTAGGAGTTATTTGTGGGAACTAGTCATGTTGAACAACTAAAACATTTACTTCCCATGCAATCTGTTTGAGATTTAACAACAAAGCGCGTGTAATGACAAATAATATTAATAAATAGGTGCAAATTGAATTTAAACTTGAATCAAACTCAGTTTTTGAAAAATTCAAGATCATAAATCGCAATCTCAGTCAGAATGCGTTGATAAAATGTGAGTAGAAAGTTCTCGATAGCGAAGAAATTTGAAAACATGGAATTGTAAAAACTTGTATATTATGAAAACAAACGTGTGCCTAGCAGAGTTTTAACGGTTTATTGGTTGTGAGCGATCAGCCTTCGCGAAACTTATAAAAGCTTTTAAAGGCAAAACAAACTATTGTTTCTTAGGAAATTAAATAAGTTAGCAACGAAATAAAAAGATGGAAAGGGAATGTGACACCAGTTTGTGCATTCATTTATTAACAATTCGCTCAAATTTTCATAATTTTTCATTGAATAGTTCCTGAGAAAAAACATATTGCACTTTTTTCACTTGCACATTGCGAATAAGCAAATTCAACGATCAACGATAAAATTTATTCTTCAGTTTTATATCAATAACTAAAATAGTTTTCTGTACTTAGTTTTATTTCTCCTTCCAGCATGAAAATTCACAGGCCCATTTGAGAAATTTCTACCCGTGTTTAAAACATAAGTATTACTAAAATAGAATTTCTATAATGTTTGTGAATGTTGTTATTGTTGTGTCCCCAAAATTTATTTCCCTCATAAAATATAACCCGCAATTTAATGATTTCGCATTGATGTTCATAAATTGCCTATACGGCGGTGCATTCAGAATTTCTTTGGTATTTGATGTAAGGTATGCGTGTCGCAAAAGGCAACTAAAATCCAAAAGTTCCCGCGATAGTAGGGTCTTTATGGCGGAACGACCCGGATTTCTTATGCGGCCAAAAATACTTTGAGGAATACTTTTGCGGTTACAACAGTGGGGGTTATTTCCATCGGAGTGTGACATCTGTGAGATGAGATTCTTGATCAGGCTTTTACTACTCGGACATGTTCTGGCCTGCATACGTTAGTGGAATACTTTGCATTTTTCCCCACATCACGATTTCATGAGCCGAGGTTGAGCGCTCAGATCATCATGTTGCAAAAGACTGCCCAGTAACATCATATCGACGAAGCATCGCAGCGAGTGCAAAAAGTTTATGGGGTGAAAGCTTTCGATGCAATGGAATGGAATCAATTTCAACAACTTTGAATACTCTAGGAAGTATTTGGAAATACAAAAATACGAAAATAATAATAAGATTAAAAAATGATTTCAATAAAATATTTGAAAAATTTTGAGAGCCCGCAGACCTTAAATAGGATTGTATACTTGTCAATTTTTTATTCTAATTGTAATTGCAAAAATGGTTTATAAACCCAATTTTAAAATTTAAAGTAGAGCATCTTTCCCATCGGTGGCGGCTATCGCCGAGTAGTTAGCATTACGTACTGCCGTTCGGAAGGCCAGGATGAGAGTCCTGGTTCGGCCAACATAACAAAGAAATAGAAAATTAATTTAAAACAAAAAATTTGAGTTAGTATTTCTAATTGCGGTCGCCGAGAGTATTACTGACGTGAAATAAATGCTCCTCATAGAAACACATCAACCTGCGAAGGCTGTATGTCCCTCCATTGGTGGGAGAAAAATCAAGACGATCACCAAAAATTGGAGGAGAAACTCTGCTGAAAATATATATATTTATTTCACATCAAAGGTGGATGTTGTCGAAAATGATTTTATGATTATGACTATGATCATGACGTATTTTGAAAATCTATATACATATGTATGTATGTATGTATATACATACTTATATACATATACATATCTATATTAGGAAATAATGTTTTCCGTAGATGTTTTTTTGTTTTACCAATTTCTGAATAACAGAGCATAGGCTGATATTTAATTTCCATATAAGTATGAGTTTTCACTTGAAATTTGTTTGAAGTGCCGGCTTCAAGTTATTAATTTCTAGTAATTTGTCAAGTCTATCACGAATAACTCAGTAATTTAACATCTAGAAATGAAGAATTTATTTATTAAGCGTTATAATACATTTTTGTACTGAATCGAAATTAGTTGAATGACGATTAAGCCTTTCAAGAATTATATTTATTCTTTAAAAACAGTGATGAACCTTTTAATAAAATTGACTGATTTTCTTTAAGCTATACGTACTTCACGGAGGCATTTGATAACACCCAGTTGTCAGCTCTAAATGACAATTTAACATTTTGCTTCAAGTTTTTACAATATACCTAGCCTAAAAAATCAAATACTCTAAATAATTACTTCTGTTGGTTCTAGGAATATCAATCAGGTTAAAAGCAAATCGATATAAGAAAATAAGAATTTTTTTTCATCCATATGAATACAAATTAAGTTCTTTAACCATTGAGTTTTTATTTGTTTCATTGACTTACCGATATTTTTATTTGAAATATATTGAAAATCCATAAAACAGTTTCTTGATCCATTGGCAATGATTAAAAAAACATCACTCATTTGTACCGCATTCTTGGTTTTTGATCTACCTTTATCCGTCCTGTGCTCCAGACAAAATTGGTTCCGACATAGAAAATAGAAGTCGCTTTGCAATTTAGATTTGAATGCTTGCTGATTTAACCGAGCTATTAATCCAATTGAAATATCAGTACGAAAGCTCAATAAATATGCACATATATTAATTTTTTATTCCATTGATTTCCTGATCCATTCTATATGCTAGCCATGAATTGTATATTACTAAGTCAATAATGTGGTCAAATAACTTCAGAGTCCATTTCTTAAGATCAAAAGAAAAATACTGACTGAATTTTCCACTCAAATTTTCCATGGTTATTTTTTGCAATTGCTTTTCGCTTTTGAAATCAAATATCAAATTGAAATTTATTCAAAGTGAGCACTAGGCTCGTGGCAAAAAATGGTCTCTACCCAATGCCATAAGAGGCATCTGATGCTGCGCATGCAACAATCGCATGCCGCTCCAGGGAGCAGAGAGCAGAGAAGGTAATTCGCATATAACTGATCTGGACCATAAGTGGGTAATTTCCATTGCAAACAATAAGCCTTTAAGGCGTATCGCTGCTAATCATTTGAGACACAACTCTAATTTTGAGTCATTTAAAAATTTACCATTTCCTTGATATATTTCAAAATCATATATTACCCTTTGTGCTATATAGACAAAATAATTGCCTTCTCCATTTCATTGGTTCATCCACAACTCGGCTCCCAAATTACTGTCGACACTCATGACTTTGAAGTCGTAGAAAATTTCGTCTATCTGGGAACCAGTATTAACACCAACAACAATGCCAGCCTTGTAATCCAACACAGAATTACTCTTACCAACAGTTGAAACGTTGGACATAGTATGCAATAAAAAAAGGAAGGGCCGACGAAAAAATACCTTTATTTACTCCCCCTCCAGTGAAATACATATTAATAATATTAATTAAGGTTAAATGTAACTTTTTTTGCTATTTGTTAGTGTACTATATTTGTGTTTCGCGAAGAAGTGTTTGACATGGAATGTTTGCAGGTTTAAGTAGATATTTTTTCCATATTGTATTTCAATAGTTTTGTTGAAGATTAGATTTATGAATAACTTTAACAAATACATATTACCATGTACTCGAATTTTTAGGAATGAAACTATTCTCCTTATTATGATGTATTACTTTCGATCGAGCTAGTCAGAAATGAAAGAATTTCATTTGGGTTTTCGATTTCGTTATTATAATTATTATTGGAAACAATAAGTTCACCCGGAACTCTTAGTGTTTGACCACAAACTAATTCAGCTGAAGATCATTTTAATTATTCCTTAATCGCTGTTCGTTAACCTAAATGAATCAACGGTCAAATGAATCTCTTTTTAAACTGGAAGAGGTCTTACTAGAACCATATAAATAGAAAGAGTATCGGCAATTTTATTACCTTTTCCACATATCATTAGTAAATTGAGCAATACATATATTATAAATGTCTAATTAGGCGAGGAGATATCTGCTTTAAAATTTAGAATATGTGTAAGTGGTTTATGATCGGTAAAAACAATGAAATCTCTACCCTCGAGAGAATGTTTAATTGAATTATATATTGCTAAAAGTTCTCTATCAAATATTGAATAATTAATTTCAATTAGACTTAATTTTTCTTGAGAAATATGCTAATGGTTCTAATGTGTTATTACTGTTTTGTTGTAAAACAGCTCCGAATGCAACATTTGAAGCATCTACTGCAATTAATGATTGACCGTTTTTGTGAAAATGTGTTAATAATGTTTTAATGCGATTTAATCCTTTTAGTTTATTTTTTATTGCAAACGTTAACATTTCATGCAGACGATTTAATTCTGCTGCTAACATTTTAAAACTCGTAAACAAGATAATAATTTACCATTTCTAAAAATTTTTGTAATTTGTTAATCGACAAAAGTTTCTCAAATTTTAAAAATGTCTCAATACG